TGTAGTGTAGCCCAGGGCTGAGGTGATATGATGAGGAAAACTCCATTTTTAAATCATAAGACCTGTATTCCAGCTCCAGCTCTTTCTTTTATTGAGTAATCCCAAGGGAAAAGAAGAAATTCCCTGCAGAAGGAAGGGTAGAGGACTGAGGAACAACCACATCCCAAAGCCACGAGCATTGGCTTTTTTATTTCTTGGGGAAACCTCACAACTAAGTATTATTATCTCAGTTTAGCAAATTAGAGAATTAAGGCTTTGGGAGGTGATGAGCTTGCCAAGGTCTCTGAGCCTCCATCTCCTTGCCCAAGAATGAAGAAAATAGTACAGGCAGTCCCCAAGTTACAACCCCCTGACTTCATGTACAACTCGCACTTACACACAGACGCTTACCAGGTAATAGGTGAATGTAGCTGTTCCAACTTACATACTAATTCGACTTGAGAACAAATATACAGAATCTATCTTGTTTATAACCCAGGGACTGCCTGTATCTATACAATCTATCTTGTTTGTAACGCGGGGACTGCCAGTATCTATATCTATCTCAACCTTCCTAATGCCACGAGCCTTTAATACAGTTTCTGTGGGTCATACCCCACAGGTTGAGAACCACTGATCTATATAGTGTGGCTCTCGTAAAGTTGACTATGTAAATGGAAGTGCTTTGTCACATAGAAAGTAATAGACTGTTAACTTACTTGTTTTATCCCAACTGATTCCAAGCTCCTTTAGGGCAGGAACATCTTATTCTCTTCAAGCCCCAGCATCTAGCATAATATCAGGTATAGAGTAGAAACCCACGACAGATTTTTCAGTGAATCAGTCTTTAAATCCCACAGCACTCTCACACAGTAAGCATGATAGACACTATAAATATTTGTTGAATTTAATTGGACTAGCAGGATAACCCAGCTAAGAAGTATGTACGGAGCTCCCTTCACTCTGCAGTTCAACTACCATTGCATTGAAATATCTGTAAAACAAAGCATGTTTTAAGTTCTAATAATGTCTCACCTTTTAGAACAATAATTAACTCAAGAAAATTCTAATGTTCAAAAAGACCCAGAGTAACTCATTTTCTCTCGAATAATTTGAAAAGTCTCTTGTTTATGTTGTGGTAAGATTTGACCAGCAGATATAACTGTATATATGTATAGTGTTTATAATGTTTTTCATCTAATGGTTAAATAGCTTTAATTAATGAAACAACTTGCAAGCACCTTGAACTAATTACCTTTTTGCCACTCAGTGAATATGCCACAGATGGCAGAGGCAGAGGAGCTTTTTAAGCATAGCCATAGTCACTTTACTTGCTTTTCTGCGTATCACTTATATTTCCCTTGCTGTAAGAAATGCTTAATTTTATATATGATTGATTCCCCACCGAAAGTTTTATACTGTGAGTCAAAACACCTTTTGAGGTTTTAACTTTTTGAGTATAACCAAAATTACATAAATACAGTTAATGTATTTGTTCAAAAAAAAAAATTTTTTTTGTGACAGTCTCACTATGTTGCCCTGGGTAGAGTGCTGTAGTGTCCCAGCTCACAGCAACCTCAAACTCTTGGGCTTAAGCAATTCTTTTGCCTCAGCCTCCCAAGTAGCTGGGACAACTGGTGCCTACCACAACTCCCGGCTATTTTTGTTGCTGCTGCTGTTGTTGTTGTTGTTGTCATTGTTGTTTGGCAGGCCCGGGCCAGGTTCGAACCCGCCAGCCCCAGTGTATGTGGCCAGTGCCCTAGCGGCATATCTGCAGGCACTGAGCCAATTTGTTCAAATTTGGAACAAATATTCACTCATCATTCAGGTTATATACTGATACATTGGTGTTTGGGTTTTCAGACATTTCTATGACAACCCTATCCAGTTTGTTGGAAGATCTGCTTTTCAACATTTACCTGAACTGAGAACACTGTAAGTTTCTACTCCTCTTAAAGATCACTTTTCCCCTACAAGGTTGCCATGAAAAATCACATGAATGTTATGGATTGAAGTGCCTTGAAAATAGCAATAATAATTACTCCCATCTCCAGTCTTCTCCCAGTAATACTTCTACTCTCTTTCTTGTAGGACTCTGAATGGTGCTTCACAAATAACCGAATTTCCTGATCTAACTGGAACTGCAAACCTGGAGAGCCTGTAAGTGCTTGAGTGGACTCGTGACTTCCCCAGAACGTACCCCTCCCTGAGAGCCTGACAGACTTCACATAAGGGAATCAAAACATGTCACTGTGAGATGCCTGAATGAAAGGACCATCTGGTTTGTGTTTTAACAGGACCTTGACTGGGGCACAGATCTCGTCTCTTCCTCAAACCGCCTGCGATCAGCTACCTAATCTCCAAGTGCTGTGAGTATCTGTGCGGCAGTATGTGTAATGGGGGGCGGGGGAGGGGAATGGCAGGCATTATTTCAGTAACCCTTTATGAGGGGAGAAAGCGTTCTTCCTGGTGGTCTTCAGGAGGTCAGGTCTCTGCTGTCTTTGGTTCATGCTGTCTGCCATGACCCTGGCAGTCAAGGCCTTTGTTTCCAAGTCCAAAACAGTCTCCCATCAGAATTCCAGTTGGTTACATTTTATTTCTGAAAAGATATGAACAAGTGGTCCAGGTGCTGTGGTTCGGGCCTGTTACCCCAGCACTGCAGGAGACTGAGACATGAGGATCACTTGAGCTCAGGAGTTCGAGACCAGCCTGAGCAAGAACAAGACTCTATCTTTACTAAAAATAGAAAAATTAGCTGGGCATAGTAATGGGCACCTGTAGTTCCAGCTACTCGGGAAGCTAAGGAAGGAGAAGTGCTTGAACCCAAGAGTTTGAGGTTGCTGTGACCTGTGACACCATGGCACACCAGCCCAGGCGACAGAGTAAGACTATATCTCAACAACAACAACAAAAAAGATCTGAGCAAGCCAAAATAACTTCATTTCCCCCTCTAAAGGCTTTGCAGAGAACAAAATAACCTAATGGATCAACCTCCCAATGTGGCCATCAAAACCAAAAATGGAATAGCAGCCTCACTTTACAAACCTTGATAAAGGTTACCAAACACAGTTTCTATACTGTGGTGCCGTGTTCTCATGTATCATCTAATGGTTAAATTGCTGCATGTGTTATTCCTACTGACTCGAAACTTCTTTCCCCCGCCTTTCTTGTGTTTTATGAAAAGTAGCTCATGGGGATCAGAAGAGCCTTGCTCTGACCTTCCCTTTGCAGCCTCCTCCCTCATCTCCACTTGGCCTTCTTACTGTCTTCCCAAGCGCTGCTGGGACTTCGTGAAACTCCCGTTAGTCCCTGGCTGTGGCTGGGCACTGACATGAAAGGCCCCTGAGGGCAGTTGCACGCCTGTGGTCACAGATGCTGCTAAGCAGCGCCATGAATGTTAAACAGATGGATGGGAATGTCTGCTGCAGGGACTCTGCCCCCCGTCCCCAGCCTGCCGTGTCACCTCACATTCCCCTTGCTCAGTGACATGGGGCAAAGTAACACCAGAAGGTAGCCTTGGGGTCACTTGTCCACACCCAAGGTGTGGGGAGTATAGAACAAACCTCTTCTTGACCCTACCCCGGCCCCTGAAGTGTCCATACAGATGAAAAAACCTAGGATTATAGGAGTTAAGTACATTTGCTGAAGTCACACTGCAATAAAGTAGCTGAGTTACAATTCCAATGCATTCAGGTTGATTGACTAACTGGGAGAAACTGCATACCCCAGGTGGCAGAAATTTGGAAAGCCATCCGAGAATTCTACCTACCACACCCAAAATGGGTAGAGACAGTGATCCCCATTTTTGAGGCAGGTGGCTCAGTGACATGATCAGAGCGTCACATACTGTTACTAATAGATGCAGAGCCAGTGTCTAGACGGCACCTGTCTCCACTGGGTCACACAGCGAATGGCAGACCACTCTGGGCCAGAACCACCCGAAGTGGAGGCCCACTGGCAAAACAGTTAAGAGCAAAGCCTGTGCAGCCTGCTTCTCCAGTTCAAGTTCAGTCTCTCTTTACCTGCACAGTATGTTGAGCATTATTACTCCTCTGGGGCTCAGTTTCCCAGTGTGTGAAATGGAGGCACAGCCACTTCCTTCAGAAGATCACAGGAGATTCAGTGACTTCACAACCCCACAGCACACCTGAGACAGACACTTCAGAAATGTCAGCTCTTGTCATCTCTCTCACTTCCTTTGTACCATTGTTCCTTCCTCAAATTGGAACTTGAAATGGCAGAACACATGCATTTTAATGGCAGTACCTTGCCATTTCCAGAGCATTTAACCTATAGTATTCTTTCATTACTCTTGACAACACCACAAGGTCACCGAAGCCGGTGTCTTCTCATATAAGAAAGCGGAGGAAGACATTGGTGCTGGGGCCGGTGTGTCAACCAAGTAACATGAGTGGAAGTCGGAACTAGAGCCCAGCGCCCGACCCCTGCGGCAGGGTGCTATGTGCTCTTGTGGAAGGTCACAGAGATTTCCTCCTTTGACTGAACTGTTCAGTGAGCCTGTGTCACACGAGGAAGCTTCACTGAACGTGAGTGGTGTTGCTTCACCCACAGGGAATTACCTGGCCCCACTGTGCAGGCTGTGCGTGGTTTCCCCACTGACTAGCTGTGGTCGTAGGCAAGTCATCCCATTGCAGGTGTACAATCACAGCATTTTCTGCACGAGGCGGCCAGAGATTACAAGACAATTTGAGTGAAGCCTTTATGTAAGAAGTGCTGGTCAGGGCTAACCATGTAAGTCAGTAGGTAGACCAAGGTTTTATACACACTCTACTAAAAGGTAGATGTGTAAGGAGTCCCACTTTTGCAGTCTGCAGAGATGAGTGCACCAAATTATTGTCAACTTTGATAATATAATGTGCGTGTATTATGTGTATAAATGTAATACACGTTTATATCCATAATAAAATATTCATTTTATTACACTCACTAATTTTCAAAAACTACCATATTATTCATCATATGTATTTGTGCATAGGTGCAGGGTTTAGGGGACTTAGGGGGATAATGTATCTTTCAAACCTCTAGTTTAAACCACAAATGTGTGTTCGCAAGCAGTTTCCTTTGAGCTGTTTATGTGGAGTAAATGACTCTATTCCTATATAAATCCCATTCATTTATTCAATAAGTGTAGACTATAGTAATCAATTAGAAGAACAGAGTAATTTAAAACATCTTAGAAAACAGTGTGATTTTTCAGTTCCATAGTGGTCATCTGGTTTTAAGAATTAGAATCAGGGACTTGGTGCCTGTGGCTCAAGTGGCTAAGGC